TTTTACACTTGCATTAAATTAAAGTTGATTACATCGATTAAGGGCGGGGGTGGTTCCCTAATATTTTTGCTGGGAGTTGGCAACCCCACTAGTTAGGTAGGTAAGTACTCTTTAAAATACCAGAATAGGGAGGATGGTTTAGGTTTAAATTTATTAGATTGATCAGTGTTGCTGAACTATAAAATGTTTGGGTGGAGTGTATTTTTTGCATACAGGTATAACAGAATAGCTTCAGTCTCTTGTTTTTTTCAAACTTGAGTATGAACTTATACAAAATGCAGCAAGATATTTATAAAAAACAGTTTTGTTGATTACAGAATACACTATAATGGATTCATATCGGTATCGGCAGATATCCAAATGATATCTGAATCGGTATCGGACATTAAAAAGTGGTATCGTGCCATCTCTAATACATATGCTGATGGATGTTAGGACTTCCAATCATCTTCGGTAAGAAACATTTTTGTTTTTTTGTGTGATGCGCATGTAGTAACCTGTTATGTTGTAAACTGTTTGGTTGTGTTTTGGAAAGAAGATAATATTTTACTGAATAAAATAGCACTGATCGCATTGTAGGAATATCTTCTTTGCCAGCTGTTGTTTTTTGTGGTTGTTTGAGTTACACAAAGCTGTCTGGTCATTCTCCTCTGACCTCTGAGATCAACAAGGCAAATTCCTCCAGTGAACTGCCACTCACTGGATATTTTCTCTTTTTCAGACCATTTTCTGTAAACCCAAGAGATGTTTGGAAAATCCCAACAGACCAGCTGTTTCTGAGATACTCAGACCATCTGGCACCAACAACCCTGCTTTATATTATTATGTATACAAAACTCCTATATGAAAGCTACTTTGAGGAAATGGCTTACATTTTAGTTACTTACCCACAATTTTGTCTCTTAACATGGAGAGCTGCATTTTGTCGAGCCTTCTTTGGCCAACGGTGTAAAACTGCCAGCTCAGCACCCGTGACAGCTGCTTCCAGGTGAGAGGAGGAGGATGCAGGAACAGTGACAGGTCCTAAAAGGAAAAGTCATAGAACCACAATGAAGTTTCCTGACTCGTCTTAACAGATGTTACTAGTGTTTGTTGGCTGTGACAAAATTTTACCCAAGGTTTACTGGTGGACACCATGTTCCACCACATGATGGAGGCCCAGGCATTGGTGACTTGACTTGTGCTGGAGATGACGACCACGGGCAGGGAGCTGGCCTGGACCGACAGCAGAGGAGGAAACCAGTCAATAAAAGTACAAACCCTCCACCACAGCAACCATTTTTTAAAGATCCCCAGCAGATAATTCCTTATTTTGAATCATGGTGAATTACCTCGATGTTGCACATTTGTCCTGCGTACTGAAACTGTGCCATGAACTTAATTATATGCAGCTCTTCAGTAACTGTCAGAAGGTTCTAATGGAGAAAAAAGAGAAAGCAATCCAAGAACTTTAAAGTAAGGTGCGTTGAATAACAAAAACCCTTGTTTATTTACCTACACTGAACAAAAATATAAACGCAACACTTTTGTTTTTGCTCCCATTCCCCATGGGATGGACGTAGAGACCTAAAATTCATTCCAGATACACAATATAACCATCCCTCCCAAACAGTGGTCACAAATCAGTCCAAATGTGTGGTAGTGGGCACATCTGCTATATTGAGATAATCCATCCCACCTCACAGGTGTGCCACATCAGGATGCTGATCTGACATCATGAGTAGTGCACAGGTGTACCTCAGACTGCCCACAACGAAAGGTCACCCTGGAATGTGCAGTTTTTTGCGCTATTGGGGGTCTGGGGACCCAGAACCGGTCAGTATCTGGTGTGACCACCATTTGCCTCATGCAGTGCAACACATCGTCGCATGGAGTCTATCAGATTGTCAGTTGTGGCCTGTGGAATGTTGGTCCACTCCACTTCAATGGCTGTGCGAGGTTGTTGGATATTCGTGGGAACTGGTACACGCTGTCGTATACGCCGGTCAAGCACATCCCGAACATGCTCAATGGGTGACATGTCCGGTGAGTATGCTGGCCATGCAAGAACTGGGACATTCTCAGCTGCCATCTGCCCTGAACAATGTGAACCATGATTCATCCGTGAAGCGCACACCTCTCCAATGTGCCAGACGTCATCGAATGTGAGCATTTGCCCACACAAGTCTGTTACGGCAACGAGCTGGAGTCAGGTCAAGACCCCGATGAGGACGACAGGCATGCAGTTGAGCGTCCCTGAGACGGTTTCTGACAGTTCGTGCAGAAATTGTTTGGTTGTGCAAGCCAATTGTTCCAGCAGCTGTCTGGGTGGCTGGTCTCAGACGATCTTGGAGGTGAACCTGCTGGATGTGGAGGTCCTGGGCTGGTGTGGTTACACAAGGTCTGCGGTTGTGAGGCCGGTTGGATGTGCTGCCATATTCTCTGAAACGCCTGTGGAGACGGCTTATGGTTGAGAAATGAACATTCAATGCACGGGCGACAGATCTGGTTGACATTCCTGCTGTCAGCATGCCAATTGCACGCTCCCTCATTTCTTGTGGCATCTGTGGCATTTTGCTGTGAGACAAAACTGCACATTCCAGGGTGGCCTTTTGTTGTGGGCAGTCTGAGGTACACCTGTGCACTACTCATGATGTCAGATCAGCATCCTGATGTGGCACACCTGTGAGGTGGGATGGATTATCTCAATATAGCAGATGTGCCCACTACCACACATTTGGACTGATTTGTGACCACTGTTTGGGAGGGATGGTTATATTGTGTATCTGGAATGAATTTTAGGTCTCTACGTCCATCCCATGGGGAATGGGAGCAAAAACAAAAGTGTTGCATTTATATTTTTGTTCAGTGTATATTTTTGCATATCTGTCACACCTAGATTTTTTAGATGAATTTTAGTATTACACAAAGATAACCCAGTGAGTCAGTCACGCAATCAGCATGTGGCCATCAAACTATCCAAATCTCTAATTTTTGAAGTAATTATTTGGTATTTATTAACTTATTTTATACAATGACTCAACCAATTAGTCATCAAATATAAGATAACAATTTATTCAGATGTGTTTATTAAATTATTGAAAAGCATATTATTTATGCACCATTCATGCCATTAAAGCTAAATTTCCAAGTGGATGCAAACTACGGTTTAATAGGGTGACAACAATTCATTGACATAATTAAAGACATCAACTATAAAAATTGGTCGGCATGTCATATTCTAAAACCTAAAATGTGTTGTAACTGCAGTACACTACAGAAAGGTATGGGGCAGTATTCATTCAATACTAATGAATAAGAAGTGGGAACTCGGTGGGAACAGCAAAACATGATGGTGAAAAAGGAAAGAAAGACTTTGTTTTATGTGAAAGGCTTTCAAGCTTTTCAAACGAGGCTATAAAACAGAGCTTTCCTTCCATGACAGCATTACTGCAGTGCATTAAAATGCCAGCACACTGAGCTTCGACGTCAACTCTGAATGGGTCAGTTTTAGGGAATTAAGTTAGTGTGTCAACTTGATACTTTGTTTCTGTTCATGTTTGTACAGTAATGTTTATGTTAACTTTCTTGTCAGAAACTTCTCTGGATAATGCTTGCTAAGAGAACACATTTAAGTTTTGTTAGCTAATGAGGCTATATCTCACCCTCACCCACCTGGAAAATAAAGACATATGTACGAATGCTGTTCATAGACTTCAGTTCAGCATTCAACACAATCTTTCCTCAGCACCTGACTGGAAAACTGAGCCTTCTGTGCCTGAACACCTTCCTCTGCAACCTGGACTTTCTGACGGAGAGGCCTCAGTCTGGATCGGCAACAGCATCTCCAATACTTGGGGCTTGATACCCAATCCCTTGTGGGAGTGATCTCCTGTCGACCTGACGTCCTGACTCCCCCTGGCATTGATCTTTAATTGTAATAGCGGTTCCTTTTTCCAAATGTTGGAACACTAAGCTACTAGTTGTTTCGCTGTCAGTCCAGACCCTGGGTATCAAAGGTTCCATATGTTCCACATCCTCTACATGCAACTTTGTCATCTGCGTAATAGGATTCCAACAGAGCCCTGTTCTCATCTCTTGCCCACTTATGCCTCCTTGTTCCAGGAGCCTAATTCTCACCAGTGTGTCCTGGTTCCTCGTTAATCCGTCCGAGCCTATTATGGCTTCAGTTATCTCGCTCTAATATCCCAGGTAGGCTTGGTTTGTATAGGAGTTCTAACCTAGGGACCATTACTGGATATGGATGCCCTGGTCTGATAAATGTGGTATTAGCAATGAATTTGTTTTTCCTATTAGGTCAAAATCACAAACTGGAAATGTGAAATAGTTAAATGTGAATCTTCCGCTCAGATGCCAGCCCTAACTTCTAACAAGCAATTCAGAAGTACCAAGAGCCACAGATTCACCAACCTGACTATCCCATGCCTTGTCTCTGCTCCCCGGTGCCTTTCTCATTTTTCTTTGTATAAAAGCTTTTCTTTAAAATGCTACACTATTGGTTTTTTTATTGCTCCAAGTATAGTTACCCACCATTAGATCAACCTGCTTTGCAACACAGCTGCTGAAGCATGTGTTGTTGATCAGTCAGCCAGCTGCAGAATAAAGCAAAGTTACAACATCCAAAGAGCTGAAGAGAAACCAAGTGTTAAAAACACTGCACTATGTTGTAATTTTTACGTTTGATGGGGGTTTTGTTCGCAGTTCTCACATTCCTGGTGAACTACACTGTCTGTCCCTTCCCTATTCCATCCCAATTGTCCACCAATTAATATTCGGCAGACACTTATATTATCTACTTCCAGTGATGCGCAGTTGGGATTTTGGAGGATTGCACAGGAGCATGTCTGTGGTGGGTGAAAACCTCTCTCCGTCCTGTCCAAATGAAAATGTGTACGCAGACAAAGATTTGGGGGATCATAAATTATGCTTTAGAGATTTAGGAATCTGTCGCAGAAATTAATCAGAATTGGCTGATTAGACAAAGACAGGAGTGTTTCATATGTTACTCAATAAACATTGAGTAACATATAAAAATAAAAATAAAAATCCAGGGCTCAAGCTCCTGATGCCCATGCCTAAAAAAAGTGCCTGCAACAATCTAAAGAAATGGCTGAGAAGTAAAGTGAGTCAGTCTGGAAAAGGTTTTAAAGCCATTTCTGTGGCTTTAGTACTTCAATGAACCACAGTGATAGCCATTATCCACTCTTACCCCAGAAGATCCTTTAATTCTTGGTTTTGTTTCCTTGAGAGACTAAATAAAACAAAAAAAAAATTGTTTTTGCAAGATACTGTAACATACAAGAGAACATACACTATAAACAGGTGAACACAATGCTCTGTTAGTTTTGCGGATTTTCATACCATTTGCCCAAATTCCACCATCAAGCCTCTGTCTGTTGGCTCAAACGACTTCACTACATCCTTGTTGAAATCAAAGAGACGGAACCTACAACAAACAGTCATTACCCATTTATGGCAATATACATTTTTCTAATTTTATATTTCAGGTTTCTCTTTACCTACCCTTGCACTGTTTTCACTTCTTCAACATCCCTTATTTTAGAGAAAAAGAGATACAGAATGAGTAAAAAAAGGTTTTAAGTAAACATTCTATTCATAATAATATGTACATAGCTGGTTCAGACCAGGTTCTCTTTTACATACTTGTCAAAGACAGGTTTGACTTTGAGCCAGATTTCAGGTATATTTACCAGGAACCTAAAAAAAAAAAAAAAAAAAGTAAAGACAAACTATGAAAAATGTTGTAAACAAAGAAAAAAAAGGGCTGTTAAAATAGCCTGTACATGCCAGCATAGGGGTTTAAGGTGTTAACCACAATATGTCCCTAGTCCAAGCCCACCAACATGTTTGAACCATTGTGTCATGGAACCTGAGTTTTCTGCCTGGGTTTTGTATTTATCTTTTGATTTTCATGCATTTACAGTATTCTGATGTTTGAGAGTTTTATATTCTATTTAACAAGTTTTTCCTGGTTTGTCTCTATATGGTTATTGCCTTGTGAAAACTAAAATTAAGACATTTTAAAGACATACTTATTTAGTTTTCTTTTTGATTAGTTATGTTGTATATGTTTCCTAGGCTTTCAGTTTCAGCCTCCCCATTGTTCTCCATATTGTGCTGTCAAGTCTCTGTCTCGCCCATGTATACCGACACTAGGCTTTCTAAGATTGCCTCCTCCTAATCAGGAACACACTAGAGTCATAAACTGAGAAGTGGCATTGTAGTTCTTGTACAGATTTTTAGCGTCTCTCACTTGTACTTTGAAACTATCTCTGTCCCCATTCTGAAATGATTATTCATTTTCCAGCCTTAGCCTCCTACTAGCAGCTAAGAGGCTAAAAATCCTGTTTTGATTACATTAAATCTGACCTCTTGTTACCATATGTTATTGGTCTTCAGTGTTGTTTATTATCTATGATGTTTAATTTTGAATGTTAAAACAAAACAACTTAAATCTTCCTTAACCACTAAGGCTGGGAGGGGCATATGTATTGATGGTTTGGATCTTTTCTGACTGTTCAACTGCTTCTCAGAAACTTACCTTCTGAAGGTATTTGGCTATCGCTGTAGTTAGTTCTTAGTAACCAAGAATGGTCCTTGATTTCATGCATACTTTAAGTAGAATCTGAAAAAAGCCACTTGTCCTATTTATCAAATTCTTATTTGTGAAGAATTTCTATACATATTGATCATCAAATATATAATCGTCAAAGCAAGACAGGGCAATTCTTTCAATGTGGTTCAAATCTAAGAGCTAAATGAAAAGGAACTAAGTCTCTCACAAGCTGCATGCTTTTTTTTTTTTTTTTATTCTCTCTCTCTTCTTCAGTCAGTTACTGGCAGATCATTTTGCAGTCTTTTGCTGAATTTGACTTTTTGTCTCTGTGGGGGCTAACATCAAGAATAGACTAACAAATCTGAGTAAAATGGAAACAGCTTAAAATTTGTAGGCAAGAAGTTTCTTATAAATAACAAAGACACTTGGGTTTACACGGATGTACATTCTGTGCTACTTTTTTATTAAGTTTGTTCAGTGCAGACCTACCTCAGTGTCACACTGAACTGTACCCCAACCTTCAGTATTAGAGGCCGCTGTGAATAATTTTGCATGACAGGCTGTTTCTCAACAACCAGAGCTCTGCAATGTAAGATAACAAAAGAACATGTCAGTATTAAGCATGTTTGCATGTCCATCTCTATATATAGAGTAAATAAGAGTAATAAGTAGTAATAAGTTCTGATGCAATGTCTTACTTTGTGACAAGTTTCCTAAACAAGGACAGTGCAAAATTCTCCATTTCTGTAATTGGGGCATTGAAGATGAATTGGTTCCAGTCTTGCTGTTTCAGCAGCTGTTTATATATTTGTAGCAGCACCTTAGCGACAGTCGTAAATCTGAAAACAAATGTATTACGTGTTAAAAAGCTGTTGCAGCAACAAAAGTTATTTTATGCAACTTTTTTTTTGTCAAAATGAGAAATGAAAAATTATTTTGACCGTTTCTCCAGTTGCTTCAGGTGCAGAGTCAAACTGGTGTGACGTTGAATTCCAATGCAGGACGATTGCTGCCAGAGCTTCCACTTTGGCAGCTCCACATCAGTAAGAAATGGCACAATATGGTTTGCCTGGTTTAAAATATTTAACTGAAGCTGGACAATCTGTAAGACAATAAATTAAGTTAAATAATTAATAATACGTTATACACACACACACACACACACACACACACACACACACACACACACCTTGTGAAGAAGCAATCCTTCATAATAACTATTGTAGCAGCACTTCAGCGACAGTTGTAAATATTGTTAAATATAAATATTTTTCTGCCCTGCCAGTACCTGCTTTTAGCACCCCTGTTATTAGTACTAATAGGCAATCATGGAGTGCTGTTACTGTCTTCTGGAAGTAGGCGTGGATCATATCAGGTCATGGTGCTTGTCTAGTTCGTCATTCCAGAGACTTAAAATTGGATGTGGGCGTTTGTGATATTGACTGTTCGTTGTTCTGGGTGTTTGCTGTGGTCTGTTCTTACGTCTATGAGTCACTTGGTGTAGGTGTTGTGTGATGCCCTGATTCGAGATTCGAGCCCTGGCTCGGACAGTCTCAGTCGTTGTGTCCTTGGGCAAGCCACTTCACCTACCGCCTACCGGTGATGGCCAGGGGGGCCGATGGCGCAATATGGCAGCCTCGCTTCTGTCAGTGTGCCCCAGGGCAGCTGTGGCTACAACTGTAGCTTGCCTTCACCAGTGTATGAATGTGAGAGTGAATGAATAGTGGTATTGTAAAGCACTTTGAGGGTCTCAAAAAGTGCTATATAAATGCAACCCATTATTATTATTAGATTGATCTTTGGCAAACAGGCGATTTATCCTCTGCTTCTCTGGTATATCTCTTTAGCCTAACGGCCAGAGCTGTAAGCCTTTTATGGCAGTTTTTTCTTCTCCCCAGTGGTTTCTTCAATATATCTTTCCTGTTTCCTTAATCTTGTACTCAAGGTCTTCTAAGGTTTCTGATGTTATCAAAGTGAACCAATAGGTTCTTTACATGTGTTGCAGATAACCCCTCTTCACTGAGTGGGCTGACATAGTAGTCTTGGATTAATTTATATTATCAGACCTTTCATATATTCCTTGTTCCAGTAGCTCACTTCCTATCAGTATGTCCTGGTTCCTTAACCTGGGTTTTGGGTATTGGTATTGGGGCTTAGTCTGGGGACAGTTAGTCTAGCTTCTTATTGGTTACTACTTACTAGTTTAACCCACCCTACGAACCCTGGCCTGTTTTTGGGGTCCCACAGGCACATTATATAATGCTAGCATTGCATTTAAGTCTAATGATGGTCTATTGATGCAAAGACCACACAGGTATTTTTCTAACATATCAGTAGCATCAGAGTACAAATTAAATACAACACATTTCACAAACTATGGTGTTACAATCAGCATAACGCCATTATATTAAAAACATCAAATGTGACAGTCACAATTATTTTGTTTTTTTGTTGTTGGTTTTTTAAAGTTTATTTTAAAAGGTAAGTTCAAGTTAAAATTGCCTGAATTTGAAACATAAAGAGGCTGACCAATACATAGCAGTGCATACAGTTAGCATGAACCTACAGTTAATAGTTAGTTTTGTGGCCCCACTGAAATTTTGTCCTTAAAACTGTCTACGAAAGAAAAGTAATTTCTAGAACATTTGAAAGATTTCCATTTAATTCTAGAAGAAGATGAATTTTTAAAAAATTTTCAATTTTAGGTCAAGGACTAGTGAGTGTCAGAACCACTATCCAGGATGAAACAAAGAACAATGAGCACGTCAGATAATTGGCAATAACTGATCACCTGCTGAATATTAATTGACAAAACAAATCCCTAAAGAATACAATATATTTATGAATGTTAGTTTAGGCTGTCTAAACAACAGCAATTTACATTATATATTAAACATACATTATATATTTATATTACCATATTCTGATGTTCCTCTTCCTGAAAAGCACAATAGTTGGCCAGTTGAGGATTTTCCTTCACTAGTAAAGACAAACAAGGTGCATCTGTCATACTGAAGAACAAACAAAACCTACAATAGTTTTCTAAATGCATTTCCTCAACCTCCCCATCTGGGAACACAGGTGAATTAAGTCATCTGAAAGACATAATTTCTCTCGTGTTTCCTGCGTCTACCCCGAATCTGATCCAGTTGGATAAGACAAAACATCTCACCTACGAGACATACAAATACCAAACCAAAGTTGCCTGATGGTTTTCTAGACTGACAAAATCAATTTCCATGGCATCACTTATATTTTTAAGAGTTCAATTTTGACTCTGAAATGAAAGACTAACAGTCACGCCGCAGAAATCAAGGCTTCACAATATGTGTGGCCATACCTTCTTTTTGCAAGATCGTGTGAGATCTCCAGTTTTTATTAAGATTTTCATGCAGATCATCAAGTTTCTCGAACCATTTTATGAGCTCCTGCATTAGAATTAAAGATCCAAAATTTAGAAACAGTGATTTTTTTTCTAGATCACATTAAACAAAATAATCTGAGTAAACTTACTACAATCTGTGGATCGACTTCAAGTACGTCTGGCTGATTCTGTTCCATGCCTGTATTGCTGCAACTGTGGCAAAAAAAAAAGAATTCATAAGCTCTGAGTGTAATGCAAATTTTCTCTGTACAACTGAGATCAGTGAATAAAAGGGTTTTTTAAAAAAAAAACAAAACAAAAAAACTAAGAAAAACAAAAACATGAATGTTATAATATCTTGATCTATCCAGACTCATTTTTCATTAGAATTGTTAACAAAGAGGTCAACTGTAATTAATGTATTTTTCTCTACTTTAGAGTAAGACTATGCCAGTAGCCCTTCCCTCCCCCATTCACCAGAGCTCTTCACACCTCCTTCATATCTCTCTGCAACCCCCCATAGCACCGGGTACATCAAATGCACCTCACCTGCCCCCCTTTTCCTTTCTCCTCCCCCACGCCAGTCATCGGGAGCCACCCACCCACACCCTACACTGCAGCCTCTCCGTCACAACTGACCAGGTGCGAAGTCAGCTGAGGAAGATGAAAACCAGGAAGGCCACGGGTCCAGATGGAATCAGCTCCAGACTTTTGAGGGGCTGTGATCAACTCTGTGAGGTTATCACATACATCTTTAACCTCAGTCTCAGTCTGGAGAGGGTCCCCATTCTGTGGAAGACCTCCTGCTTGGTGCCATTCCCAAAGACAATGCACCGCAAGGAGCCAAACCACCTCAGACCCGTTGTCCTGACTTCACACCTGATGAAGACCATGGAGAGGATCATACTACACCACCTTCGCCCACTAATCAGGAGAGATCTAGACCCGCTGCAGTTTGCCTACCAGCCAAACATCGGGGTAGGTGATGCTGTCATCTACCTGCTGCATCGGGCCTTCTCTAATCTAGAGAGCGGCAGGTGCACTGTGAGAGTCATGTTTTTTGATTTCTCTAGTGCCTTCAATACAATACAACCCTCAGCGCTAAGGGAGAAGATGCATGGAGCGGGAGTGGACCATCAGCTGTCCTCGTGGATTATTGACTACCACACCAGGAGACCCCAGTATGTGAGGTTGCTGTACTGTGTGTCTGAGGTGGTAATCTGTAGCACGGGGGGCCCACAAGAAACAGTACTCGCCCCTTTCCTCTTCACCCTGTTCACTGCAGACTTCAGTTTTAACATGGACACTTGCCATCTCCAGAAGTTCTCAGACGACACCGCCATTGTGGATCGGGAGTCGGAGGGAAACGAACTGGAATACAGGGGGGTCATCAATAACTTTTTAAGCTGGTGCAAACAGAACCATCTTCGTATCAATGCCAGCAAGACGAAGGAGCTGGTGATAGACTTCAGCAAGAAGCCACGGCCTATTCCACCAGTGAATATCCAGGGTTTGGACATTGAAATGGTGGAGGAGTACAAATACCTCGGTGTTCACCTTTTATTCTGCAACCTAGACATCCACATTACTCACACTCTCACATAACACAT